GAAATTTTCACAGAAAGCTCTTTACAATTCCTCCCAATTTCTGATTGATCCTGGATTTAATTTGTCGAACCATTGGAGAGGGCATGGTTTCTAGGGCCATGGGAAAGAATAGGGTCTTGATATCGTCGTCTCCTCTGGCTAGTTCAATCGATTGTGAATATATCCTGAGCCACTGCCTTGGTTCAATTTTGCCATCATACTTAGAGTGGTTGGACGGTTTGAACTTGTGAGGTAGTCGTATTGACGCAAGTCTGTTTGCAAAACAGGGGAATCTATCGTGCGTTCCGGCTTCTTTGAATTCCGATTCGGCACCTTCTTCTGGCCAACTGTTGTTTTGATGAGAGTAATCCTGTGAGGCTGTCTGGGTAGGCGCCCTACTTCTGGTCTTTCTTGGTTGTTCAACTCGGTGGCTCTGACTATGGTCCCTTCTACTTTCTCTGTTATGACTTCCACTTGGTCCAAGTCTCTCGAAAGCGGACTTTCTTTGATTTTGATCTTCTTGCCTATGGGTCGTTGATCTGGTGGGTAGTCTTGAGTGGGTCCTTTCTTCATGCGTCCTCAGGGCTGCTGACCGAAGAAAATTCTGGAGCTGTTCTTGTTTTTCACTGGGATGTGAGGTCGCTCTGAGTTCTTCTAATGCTTCTCGGATCTTATCGTAGGGTGTATTTGCCGTGCGTCTTTCTTTGACTTCTCGTTGTGATTTTCTTCTGTCGTACTCAGCCAACTTTGACTCATATCTGATCCAAGCTTCCTTGCGTTGCCTAGCACGGTGTTGGCGTCCTTGCTTCAACTTGTTTTTTCTTTCTCTGGCTTGTTTCTAATTCTCGGTCTCACCATCGTAGCCCTGGGCAAAGGGTGATATGTTTGATTTTGATTCATCCGATGACCTGACATCGGGCGCTTCTGGGGGATCAATGGTGATCGAGGACGGCGAACCATGAGTACTTCCCGTGCGTGAACTATTCTGTTATTGGCGTTAGTTTCCACACTGTCGGAGTTGCTGATGACTTTAGTAGAGGCCTCGAGGTCACAGATCGAGTCTCCTTCTTGGTAGGGTAGAATTGTCGTTGTCATCGTGTCGACCAGTCGGGTACTGCTATTCTCAGGAACAAAGTCTAGCCAATGGACGATGCAGTCTTGAGATGTTATAGTTAGTATGAGACCTTTTTGAGCTCCCTTCAGTGGCATTCTAAGCACCAGATCGAGGAATCCTCCGGGCCGTGTCCGAAAAGATGTTTCCATGTTGTGGAGTCCAAGCGGAAAAGGATCCGACTTCTTGAAAAGATTTTGCGTGTACTCCGAGTTGTATTCTTGATAGGCCAGGGTCGCGTTCTTAAGCCCCATCGGAAAAGAACTCGATTTCCCGAAAGAACTCGGATAAGACTTTATTTCGGATGCGGAGCCTGAGTTCGAGTCGGATGCGCAAAGCCACGAAACTTGAGTTGAATCGGACATCATGAGCTGCGCGAATCTTCCGGTGATTTGATCTGTCGTAGTCGCCGAAATAGAATAGTCTTCATGGTGATTCGAATCTTCGAGGAGACAGCTTTGGAGCTTGCCATTGTCGTCCGCCTCGCAGATCCATGAGCCGAAGATGAAGGTTGATCCCGTCGAGAAGATCATGCTGTCGAGGTCCATCGAGCTCTCGGATGCAAATTCGTCGAAAACCCCTACCTGGCGCGCCAGCTGTCGATGTTTTACCACCGATAGCCTGCCACGGGGTTACCCGGGACAGTATGTTCGGGCTTCGGCTTATGCGGAACTCGACGGTGAATGCAAGAGACAGTCGATTTATCCTGGTTCGGGCCCTCGATCGTTGATTGAGTAATAGCCCTACGTCCAGTCGACGTTAGCCTTTGCGTTGGATTGATTGTGTGTTGTTGTCGTCGTGATTTCTAGGATCCTGCCCTCCTTTATGTAGTTAGGAGGTCAGAATCCTAGTCGGTTTATAATAAGAGTTCCTAGTAGGATTATAAAATAATACTACTACTAAGATTACATGGGGAGAATCCTAGTTAGACTAGATCTTCTCTCTTCCTTGCGGGGTATCCTGTGGTTCCCGCACCGACAGTATCCACGACAGAATTTTTGGAAATTGTTAAGCCAGAAATCTGGGTGTTCATCTATGTTAAGAAGTCTTGTTTGGATGCATTCTAATCTATCCCCATCCATATGAGTTATTCACACTACCTATCACAATCCATCAGTCTGTTCGTGGATTATAAGTCAGAAGTACTGCTGGCTGGTTTGGTGTGAGAGAAAAATACTATTCCAGTTTATAATATACGATCGTATAAGCCGAAACGAACAGTCTGTATATGAGTTTTTGTCACATTGTCGATGGCTGATCCAACGATTTCGTGTATAGGACGTAGAAAGTCACAGCTGGGTGTCTTGTGTGTGAGTCTGTGTGTGTGCGGGCATATAAGTTCTAGATCCTGTATTGAGATGCTAAGACATTTTTATTCCAATTAAACATATCGAGGTTTCGAAGAATCCTTCCTCCTTAAAACTGAGGTCAAATCATTGTGTCCATTCTGCTCTAGCTCACATCAGAGAGTTAATCTCCTCTCCAGCCACAGGTGTGACAGTTTTTCACGTCAGTCCCTCCCAACACACGTCAATTGGAGTGTATTTTTTTTTTCAAGAACGCGCTTAGGCATGTTTTTCATTAAGAGAAATTAGAAATTACAACGACAAGACCTGCAACCTCGCCAGCGAGAGTCCGACGATGGATGCATGATCTAGAAACGCGAGAAACAGAAAACATACAAGTGCGCTACGGCGCTAGACAATTGGAGTGTATTTAGGTGCAGCCAAACAGGCCTTTATTGTATTTGATCTATTGTGTTTCTCACACGATCCTCATAGCTACATGTAGTTAAATTTTGACTCCAATATTATTTTCAAGACACTGTCTACTGTTTATCAATTACCATTGTTTATCAAATAGTTTATGTGTAATGCAAATTTTACTGAAAATTGTTTGTGGCATTGTGAAATGATTATTTTTCTGATAGTTGAAACAACCACTACCATTCATGCATCTACGGACTAGTATAAAGAGGGACAAATATCTTGAACAGCTGAACAAACCTTAACTTTATGGTGAATTGGAGATTTCTTAATAAAACCAGATGAAATTACAATCCACATGAGCCAGCCTATATACACTACCGGAATCAGTAGCTTTGCCGTGTGTCCAGGACACACGGCGAAGCCCAAAAAACATTTGGCAAAGGCTTTGCTGAGTGTTACACTCGGCAAACGGCACTCGGCGAACAAAGACTCGGCAAAGCTGTCTTTGCTGAGTGTTTTTTGTCGAGTACTCGGCAAACACTTTGCCGAGTGCTAAACCGACACTCGGTAAAGATTTTTCGAAAAATATAAAAAAAAAACCCGCGCCACCAGGCCGCCAACACCACGCCGCCCGCCGCCACCACCACGCCGCCGCGGCCGCCACCATGCCCACGCGCTGCCACCCTCAATACGGAAGCTCCTCGCGGCCCCCCTCCCCGCCAACGATGACGCCGAGGACGGGACCTGCCACCACGGCCACCACCGGCGCTTTGGCCTCCCCCGCGAGATCCGGCACTGATGCGCCTCCGGGGAGCTCCCCGTCCCCGCCTCTGGCGACGCCGGGCCCCAACGCCGCAGCCTCCTTCTCCAGCAGCGGCTGCATCGAGAGATGAACATACAGTACACATGGAGAGATGAACAAGATTTGGCGTGCTAATTGTTAGCAAAGAACACGGTAGACGAAGGAGATGGAGGAAAAGCGAGCAATAGAAAACGAGAGAGAGCGATCAAGAGAGATTGGCTCTATACAAGCAGACCTCCATACGGGCTTGCCACATGCATGCAGCCGGCCAGCCGTGAGAGCTCATCAGAGGCCGACGGTGACGACTGGTGCGAACACGGTGCCAAAGGCGCAGTTGGCGCCGGCGGTCGGCCCGCGGAGGGAGCTGATGACCGCGGTGCCCTCGAGGAGGTCATTGATCACCGTGGCGTAGTAGGCGCGCAGCCGCCGTAGCATGCGCCTATACAGCACGGTCAGCCACCGCATCCAAAGCCACCAGATTGTTGCACCTCTGGTGTTACGAGCTTGCTTAGCACCGATGTTTAGACCTATGAGGATTTACCAAAACGATTTTCTCAGATTTTAAAATTTAACTTATGTTTAAAAGTGTCAATTTTAGCAAATTATATTGAACAACGGGTTAATTAGTTCCTAAATGTTTTGTTTCTACGAGTTAGTATGACGTATGGACTAGTGCTTAAAGATGTCTGATAGAAAATAAATGGCGAATGGCTTGTTTATTTAATTAAGCATGAAAAATAATTTTTATAAACAAAAATTGTTGAAAGTAAAATTTGCTAAATAATAAAACCTTAGAGCTTTAGTTATGCTTGTACATGCATAAAGTTGTTTTAGAAAATGAATTTTTGGAACTTAAAATAATATAAAATATAAACAGAAAAAATCATATCATCAGTAAGATATAAACATCGTGAATACGTGGGTATGCTTGTTCGAGTGTCAATGTGATGTTTGTTAGTTTAAAAATTAATATGAACAAAATAGAAAAAAAACGAGAGTGTCGCTGGCTACTCGTTCCACCTACCTCGTCGGTGCGACGGTGGTGCTTTCCCCCTGCTCTGAATCAGTCATTTGATTTATTTGCGTCGCTGCCTGGTCTTGCCCTGTCCTCAACTGCTTTGCTTGGTCCCGCGGCTGCACTGAACCAGCGCAGTAGGCGCCATGTGCGCATGCTCCCTCGCGTCCTTTCTCGGAGAGCGCCCTTAAGAACGATGGCTGGACTGCTGCCGTCGTATACTGCTTTGCTTGCATTCCCTCCCTACCTACTTCGTACGCTTGGACCCACCTCATTTCCTCTCATCCCGGTGTGCGCTCGCCTGCGTTTCTGCCGAGGCCGCAGTCGCCGCGCCTCACACCCGCCGGTGCCGGCCCTCCCCCGCGCGAGCGCACGCGAGCCCCCATGGCCTGCTCTGGACCGCTGCCTCTCCGGTGTGCCCGCAGCGTCAGCCTTCCCTTCCCCGCTCCTTGCCACCGCAGAGCGCCCGGCCGAACCGTGACACGCCGTCCGTCGCCTGTCCGTGGGCCGGTCCCTTGCGAGCGTGTGCGCACCCCCTCGGCCCTACGCTACAGACCCTCTGTGTTTCCCCCGCCCCGCCACATCGCTGCCGGTGCGCCCCCATGCATCGTCGTGCCGCCCCTCCCGAGCGCCGACACGCGTGGCCGGGGCTCCATGCTCCAGCTATGGTCGAGCTGTGTCCACCAGTGGGTGCGCCCGGCAGCAGGCAAGCTGTGATGCCACCTCCCCACCGCCGTCGACGACCTCACGGCCGGATGCGGCCGTCGGTGATGGCTTCCCCACGTGTACTCTGCTCTGGAGGAGGAGGGAGGACGTAGAACTGTAAATGAAAGATTTTCCAGGGGGCTAGGTGTGAAGCTGTGACTCATACAAACAGTAGCATACCAATTAGATAGAAGCATGGGGACGTTTTTGCAAAACTGCCATCGCGCATGGGCCGACCTGTTGGGCCGCTCGCCCTGCGCCTCCGTGGCCGTGGCTTGCTCAGCGCCCCGTCTGGGCCGGCCTGTCACCGCCGCGCCTAGGCCGTTCACGCCGCGCGCGCGCGCCTGTGGGCCGAATCGCGCTGCCGGCCGCGCCTAGGCCACGCGTCCGCGTTTGGCTTGTTGGGCCGCTCGCGCCCCGTCCCGCGTTGGGCCACGCCCGCCCCGCCTGGGCTGCGCGTCCACGTGGGCCCTCGGCCTCCACTGGACCGCGTGCGCGCGTTTCGCGTTGGGCCGAGGTCGTGGATGCCGGCCCTTTTCGATTTCTAGAGCAATTTCTAATTTAGCTTATAAGGTAAATTTGTAAATTCAAAATAAAATTGTGTAGGTGTCCAAAAATTATGAAAGCAATTTTGTTAGGCTCTCAGAATCATGATCTATCTATTAGCGTATTTGGTTCATCTAGTTTTAAAATGTTTCCAGGGTTGCTCTAATTATTTTAAAATGTTTAATATTGTTAAAATGTGAACTTGTGGGAATTTTTGTGAGAAAATGGTGATAGTGTTGACTCTGAAAATTTTACAGTAATTTACTAATATTATTAGCTGCTCATTGTAATTTTTATAGCTCCAGAATAATCAGTTTGCTAGGTAGATAATGATGCCCTATTTCGAATAATGATTAAATCGATAGAATGAAATAAAAAAACAACTTGAGTTTGTATAACTAAAACACTTGTTGAAAAATGACACCTTTCTTGACGATGTTGATACGTAGACTAGTACGTTAGTTATTAGAGTTAGCTTGTTAGTTCGTAGTATGTGCTCGGTTTTAAGAGTTGTTGTTGCCTCGTTAATGAACTATTGCATCATCTCTGCATCGCATTGCATACCATAATAAGGACGATGATGGATCGTGGAGTCATCTGGAGTATCGAGAAAAGATGGTGTCTCGATGATCGTGTCACCAAGATGGAATGCTAACTTTTAGTTATATTTTATCCAGGCAAGCCTTGGTGCATAACCCCTACTTTTCTGCACTTTAAATTATATTTGTGCATTAAGTTTTGAAGAGTTGAATGAAACCCACTTACATATATATCTTTATCCTATGAGTCTTACTAGTATGACAGGATCGTGTAGATTGATATGCTACAGGACGCCGGTAGAAGTCGAATGATTGCCTGTCACTCACGAGAGATAGGAAATATATTACTGTATTATTATCACTTTGAATATATAAATGGTGAAAGAAAAAATGGAGACCGGGTAGGGATATGGTTTGGGTATTGGTAGGTGTAAGAGGTTGTGTCCTAAGGCCAACGGGGCATAGCTTGGTTACACTGTTTTCCCTGTCTGTGTCGATTAAGGACCGGTCGTTGCATTGGATTCTAGGCAGGTCACAGACTTATTATCCCGAGCACATACTTGGGTATGGACGAAGGAAAGACTTGTTACTCTCTTGTCATGGGTTCTGGCTCTTTCCGGACCGACTGTCAGGGTGGTTTTTTGGTGAAGGTCCTTGCACCACACTGAGTCCGGGACTTAGGAGCGGGTGCTTGGAGTCCCAGTTTGGACAGGGACCTGGGCCCCGTGATAGGAGGGTATTGGGTTGGTCCTGCTTGTGCCTGGGGTACAAGCGGGGCGTGTGTTTCGAGGTACCCAGCTAGGCACATTGATTCGCGAATCGCCGGATAATCCGATACTGCTTATCTACAGTCTAGCAACATAATAAGAACTGGAAGATGAAAGATGATAAAATAAAATCTGATTGCTTACCACCTGCTTGAAAGTAGCACAGGTGCTTATATAGAATGGTTAGTTAATGAGCTCATGATGACTGCTAATAAAATTGAATATAAGGACGTATATTTAGTAATGCTCCTGCAGATGCAATAAACCCACAAGCCAGATAGCCTTGCATATCCTTAAAGTCTTTTCTTTCCTCCTGTCGGGTAAGTCTTGCTGAGTACGATTGAGTACTCAGAGTTTTATTTCCCCCTGTTGCAGGTGACAGGTGGATGCTAGAGCTGACTCTTGTGTGTGGATTCCTCCTGGTGGGCTTAAAGAGGATTACTTTACTCTGCGGTCATAGTCTTTATTTATAACTCCCACCAAATATTTTTATAAATAGAAGTTTTATAATTTGTTGTAATAGTTTATTATCAATGCTTCATCATACCATGAATAACTATTTATTTCCGCTATAATTCTGATCACATGTTTATATTCCGCTGTTAATTTAAATTGTTCATAACTCTGATAACATGTTCATATTCCGCTATTATAAATAATAAATATTATACTCTAATGTTACATGGAAAGTGATGTAAGAAATGTTTAAATGTTATAAGCTTTATTTTCTCATTTGTGATCCTGATGAGAAAAATATGGATTTTTGGGTTCTTTCCTAGGGTGTGCCCGACGGAACTGTGTAATTTAGTGTTCTCACTTGAGTATTTAGTGTCTAATGGAAGACAAATACTCCTGGGAGGCATTACATTAGGCGGTTCTGCCACACGGATCGTGCCAAAGAGCCTCCTTTTTCCCGTCGGCCTCTGATGGGAGGGGTCGGGAGAGGGAGGGAGGGAGGGGCTGGGAGAAGGAGGGAGGGGAGGGGCGGCGGCGGGGTGCGTTTGTGCGTGGGGCAGCGGCGGGGTGCGTGAGTTATAGTATAGGAGCTTTGCCCAGTGTCCTAGATCTGACACTCGGCAAAGCAGAGTTTACCGAGTGCCAAATTGGGGGCACTCTGCAAACCTTTTTTTTCCTCCTCTTCCTTCTTTTCCATAACGTGTTTTTCTAAATTTGTTTGGATGTACTTTGAAAAACTTATTTCTTTGCCGAGTGTCAAAAAAAACACTCGGCAAACTTACTTCTTTGTCGAGTGCAAAAAAAAACACTCAGCAAACTTACTTCTTTGCCGAGTGTTTTTTTTCAGCACTCGGCAAAGAGTTTGTTTACCGAGTGCAATTATTTTGCCGAGTGTTTTTTTTTGCAACACTCGGCAAATAGCTTGTTTGCCGAGTGTTCGAGGGAATGCACTCGGTAAACATAAAAACACTCGGCAAAGATCCAGTTTCCGGTAGTGATATGATATATATGGGTCAAATGCACCTTCGCTGCTCATCATTGGTTGAATATGGTTTTATTCAAGTCTATATCTAGATTCACCATGTAGTTCTCGTAAATGATGGGTATAGAAATCCTCTAAATATATCTAAACACGTAGCCCTGGTATTAGTGGCAAGCGAACACATAATAACACGATTATGCAATATGTGATTAGTTATAATCTACTCCCTTCATTCGAAATTGTAAGGCGTTTTGAGTTTTTAGATACATTATTTTATGATGTATCTAAACATAATGTATATTTAGATGCATAGCAAAACTTATGCACATAGAAAAGCCAAAATGTCTTACAATTTGGAATGGTGGGAGTAATATAAGAGAAAGGGAAAAACTTTGAGAACAATAGAAATCAAACAATGTAAACCTATCATATGTTTCAATGTAGTTAAATTTTGACTCCAATATTTTTTTTAGTATCTTGTAGTTTAGCTTTACTCAGACATCTATTTAATTTACTGAGTAATAATTAGGAATTTCATATTGCTCTTGTTTATATTAAAACTTAATATGAGATTTGTTATCCACGTTTATACTTGATAGGGCGTCAGTGCATCGAAGTGACCCAGTCATCGAAAGTCTCCTTAATTTCCGAGGATCTGTGCATTGGATGTGGTATTTGTGTGAAGGTTAGATCCTTTTCCTTTTCTGATTATCTTTGAGGTACCGACCCATGCTTATATGTAATGTTCATAATAATATAACTCCCTTTTGTTATTATATTTTCAGGTGTGCCCATTTAATGCTATTCAAATTATAAACTTGCCAAGGGAACTTGACAAGGAGACAACACATCGCTATGGACCAAATTCCTTCAAACTTCACAGGTAAACAGATCATTCCCATCTTTGTGATACTTCAGTCATATCCTTCTTTCAAACTCACACCGGCCTTTTCCTTTTCCAAATTTATATTTTTATAAACGGTATTTATCCCAGATGTGTTTGGATTTTTCATGCCACAATGCCTTTCAAATACAAAACATTTTCTCAAGCTTTCATAATCTCCTGTAGGTTGCCGGTTCCAAGGCCTGGGAAAGTTTTGGGCTTAGTAGGGACAAACGGTATTGGGAAGTCAACTGCACTTAATATTCTGGCTGGAAAGTTGAAGCCTAACCTGGGTAAATTCATGGTAAGGAAAACGGAGAACATTTTTGTTATTCATTTCGGTAGAAGTCATTTTAGGCTATAAGACTCTTCCCACCTATTCAGGATCCACCAAATTGGGATGACATACTGAAGCACTTTCATGGAAAAGAACTTCAGAAATACTTTACCCGTTTTTTGGAAGACAAAATGAAGGTACTTCTACTATAATTTTTTAATATATATCTCATCAATTAGGACCTACAAAATAAATGATAGCTGTCGTTCCATTTTATTGTCTAGTGTATCTTGTTTGTACTTTTAAATTAAACAGATATGGGCTTAACATCAAAAGTTTATTCAAGTAGTCATTTCTAAATCAGTTAAAACTTTGCATTAGATGTTCTCAAGAAAATTTGGAAGATTCTAATAATGTGTTTTTAATATTTTTCTCTTAATTCCATTAAATTTTCTACTCTATCTGTTTTTTGCTGGTCTGAGCATGATTAATTCTTAGCCCACATGATAGTACAATGTTTATTTGGCATAGCTATATCTAATGTTATTAGTTAACACATGTTATCGTGTTTTGAAATCCACTACCATTCTGGTATTTCTCATGGCTTATGGGCTCATGGCTGCATATGTAGTAATAAGTAATAGATATATGTGTTCTGTTCTCTCTAATGCGTTTCAGTGGCAGACAATTATTAAACCTCAGTACGTCGAGCATATTGCAAAATCTGTTGAAGGGACAGTTGGCGACAAGCTTAATAAGATAGGCAAGAGACAAGCCAAAGATACTTTGTGTGATATTCTCGACCTGAATCAAGTAATGGACCGAAATGTATCAGATCTATCTGGTGGCGAGCTTCAGAGATTTGCAATAGCTGCTCGGGCTATGGAAGATGCAGATGTTTATATGTTCGATGAGCCATCCTGCTATCTTGATGTCAAACAAAAGCTGAAAGCTGCACAAGTTATTCGCTCATTACTTCAGCCCAAGAAGTAATGAAAAAATTTACATCAAAGAACCATAAGTCAGTTGAAACATTTAACTAAGTCTGCAGCTCATAAATCGTTTTCCTCCAATTTTGCAGCTATGTAATTGTTGTGGAGCATGATCTTAGCATTCTTGACTACTTGTCAGACTACATATGTTGTCTTTATGGGAGTCCAGGAGCATATGGTGTTGTCACTTTACCCTTTTCAGTTAGGGAAGGAATCAATATTTTCCTGAATGGCTTTATCCCAACAGAAAATATGTGCTTCCGTGAGGAGAAACTTACATTTAGAGTAAGTACTATTAATTGTGGTTAGACACTTCTGAAAACTAACTTATTTACTTGCTCAAAACCTGATGAGATGTTTGGTTTATCAGGTTACTGAGTCTGCTGAGGAGATAACGGAGGGTGAGACTTACCAAAGCTACAAATATCCTACCATGAAGAAAACAAGATCTGGCTTCAAGCTATCGGTCATGAAAGGAAGCTTTAATGATTCCCAAATAATTGTACTGCTCGGAGAAAATGGTACTGGGAAGACAACATTTATCCGTATGCTGGTATATCACCTTGTTCTTCATATATGTTTTTCAGCTACTGAAAATATATTTTTTAGTAGTGCAGCCCTTATTATTATTTTCATCTGAATGTATCAGGCAGGACAAGTGAAGCCAGACAGAGTGGGTGATGAAGAAGTTGATATGCCAGCATATAGTGTCTCATACAAACCTCAGCAACTGATACCCAAAATTAGCACTACCGTGAGAGAGCTTCTACACAGGAAAATACCTGGATCTTGCACCGATGCACAGTTCAGATCTGATGTCATGAAACCACTGAAAATTGAAGAACTCATGGACAGGAAGGTTGAAAACTTTTCTGGTGGGGGGCTACAAAGGGTTGCACTTTGTCTTTGTCTTGGAAAGGTAAAAGCACAATACATTGCCCCTTATGTTCTTTCCTCAGATCATATTGTTGGTACAGAAGTTCCTTAGTATTACACCACACACTTTTTCCTTTTGCAGAACAACTTGAATTTTCAAATATTTTAATCATATTCATGTGGAAAAATAGATATTAGTATATCATACTTGCAATAACGTTAGTATTCTTAATATTCCTAAAAAAAATACATAAATCAGCATAAATATATCAGCCATCCAATGGATGTTTTTTAATATCCTCTTTTTTTTTTGGTATTTGCAGGCTGCTGATATTTACCTCATCGATGAACCAAGTGCCCATCTTGATTCAGAGCAGCGCCTTCTTGCAGCAAAGGTCATCAAAAGGTTTATCCTTCATCAGAAGAAAACAGCTTTTATTGTTGAGCATGATTTTATCATGGCGACATACCTTGCCGACAAGCAACCTGTTCGGTTGGCTGGTTCGTTTCGTTGCTGGTTCGTGAAGAAGTACTGCTGGCTGGTTTGTATGAGAGAAAAATACTGTTCCGGCTGGAAATTTACGATCGTTTACGACAAGCCACAGCCAAACGAATAGGCTGAAGGTTGTCGTTTTCGAGGGAAAACCTTCTATTGACTGTACTGCAAATGTGCCTGAACCCCTGGTGTCTGGGATGAACAGCTTTCTTTCAGTTAAGTTCTGTTTTCCTTACGCCCTGCATCTTAGTAACAAAAAATACAGGATAACTTTAACTTTCTTACCAGCATTTGCTGGCATACGCAAAAGATTCCTGGATATTTGAATAGCCTAGAATTAATTAACAACTAGTAGTTTACAAATGTAGGTTGAATTTATAGGTATAAAATATTCTTGTTCATTTCATTAGGATCTTGATGAGATGTTTTTCAAACTTGTAATCTTCCTCTGCGCCACAGCATCTAGATGTCACTTTTAGGACATCCAACAACGCACAGGCCTCGGATTAACAAGCTAGGATCCACAAAGGACACTGAGCAGAAGGCTTCAGGGTGTCACTACTACCTTGATTATTAACGTAAGAAATTTCAGCCTTTCGATTTCATCATTCATAGTTTCACGATCAGAAGTCTTCTTTTAAAAGAAATGCAAGTCTTTGATGTATCTATTTGCCTCCACAGAAAGCTTTCGCTAAGGGCACATCTACTTTTTGCGAAAGCTCCATTGGGGCCGAACAGCTCCAATGCTCGTGCTATTGCGTTCATACATGCAAGCCCATTTGCATCTCCCGGTGGTTTTGGTATGCTTGCATTGGTTTTCCACGTTTAATGATCCGCATTCCTTTTGTGTCCGTCAAAACACTAACTGCCTGTCTCACTTTGATCGGCTGCTTTGCCACAGGGCATGTTTTGGAGCTTGCAAACATGAAGTCTACGAACCGTCAATTCATCTCTTTGCGTCTGCCAGTGCTTTCGGTATGTTTGTGATGCTTCTTTTTCAAAACTATGAACGTTTATTCTCCCCATTCTGTCAAAACACTTCTTTTATCACCTTATATTGCTGCTTTGGCACCAGGGCTCTACGCGCTTGCAGGCATGAATTCTCTAAAGGATTGGAAACTGAAACCTTGGCAAAGTATTATAGCTTCGGAGGTAATTTCTTGTGATTTTTAGATATTTTTAGTTTAGTTTGTCACTTTTTTTTTGGAAATTTTATTGATTTGGAAGGTTCTGATCTAATCACTCCTGTTCTTTGAAGGTCATTGAATAGCACCTAAAGATAGACATACTGGCATGAAGCTAGTACCTGAATGATAGTTTGAACAATTGAAGATCGATTGCATTGTTGAAGACTCAAAATAATATGCATCTGCTTCTGGCCTTAAGTTATAGTATGGAAGTTTGAGTGAATTTCTAATTAGTTTCAGGCCACTCTGGACTTCTGGCTGAGTCGTGGCCTTAAGTTATAATATGTGTTCTCTTCGAAACCTTGCGTTTTGATTTTTGGGGTTGAGTCGTGGACTGATCAGAACAGTGTTTTCGTTTCTATCAAGCATTCTACTATTATATGACTGCTATGCTATCTATTCAACGCCGAAACTGCAAACTACTATCCATAGCGTTGTAGGCATAGGCACTCGAATTCTCTTCGGCGCAATCATGGTATATTAAAAGCAAAATTCTTTTAGGACGTCCTTGGCTGTCGCGTGGATACATTTGGTTTGAAACAATCTCCAACCAATAACCTAGATATATACTTTAGGAGGCTCAAAACTGAGTGCAAGTATAGGATCGATTCAGCAATCAGAGGGTGAATGGTTGCATAAGCTAAATAAAATTCTTTCACATTTAACAAATCACTCCAAATCGATCCAACACAATCATCCCGGTGAGACAGCCTATTGATATGTTAGTAAAAACACCATAGATACTAAATTGTAATTCCAATTGATCTCAATTGTCAAAGCAAACTAGATAAAATTCTTAAAGTAACAATAACGTCAATTGGATTTCTAGATCAAGAGATATTAAATTTACAAGCTTATCGTCTCAGACCGTGACGAAAATTGATTAGCCATATTTTGAGATTAAGCAACAATATGAACCGTAAAAAAAAGGATCAAACGGATAAGTTGTTGCTATGCTATAATAGAATCATAGTGTTCTAACACATGCGCATCTATAGCACTAGAAAAGAGTACCTCCAAAAGAACTAATGCACACGGGTAAGCTTATTAAAGGTAGCCGGCATATGTAATTGCTAAAGTACATAAATTAATAATCTCAAGAAAATATGGAGATGCTAGCGCCATACGGACGGACGCCCGCGCCTGCACCCCGTGTCACATGCATGTCTGTTTCACACGGCCTCCTTCGTTTCCCATGCCCGCATCGCCCGGATGCCTCGCCCTGCCTCCACCACCCACTCGCACATAGGGACTGCACACTTCCGCTCTGCTTCTTGCATGCAGGCGGGGACAACCTGTGCCCTGCTCTGTATCGCGCACGCGGGGACCCACTACCTCAGATCAGGACATCACTGTTGGTTTAAAACCCCCATTCACTATCGGATTTTGAACCGACAGTGGCATACCAGCAGTGACGTGGGGTTCACATCACTGCCGGTACTCAGAACCGCCAGTGATGTGCAGGCAATACTGTCGGTTTCTGGCACCAACCGGCAGTGTCAGTTGAGCCAACACTGGCGGCTTGTGGCTCGAGCCGACAGTGATGCTCAAGCAAACACTGTCGGCTTGTGGCACCAGCTGACAGTGATGCTCAAGCCAACACTGTCGGCTTGTGGCTCGAGCCGACAGTGATGCTCAAGCCAACACTGCCGGCTTATGGCTTAAGCCGACAGTGATTCTCAAGCCAACAGTGATTCTCAAGCCAACACTGCTGGCTTGTGGCTCGAGCCAGCAGTGATGCTCAAGCCAATACTGTCGGCTTGAGCTTTGAACCGACAGTGTTGCTCAAGACCTCACTGGCGGCTTGACATGCAAACCGGCATTGATCTCTTTTTCGTATTTTATTGTTTTATATAATTTATTTTTTTATTTTTTTTGTGGAATCAGGTTTCGCTTTATATTCGCTACGTAGACGACAGGTCCATCAACATTAAACATTACAAATGTTATGGTTACTGTTCAAATGTACTTATGAAGCTCTCGATCCCTTGAAATAAAAAAAGAAATTACAATAGTCTAGCGAGCCGCTCTGGCCCGCACTACGCCTTGTACTTCATGGATTCTGTAATGGAGAATGTTCCTTTTATTCCAAGCACTCTGATACGATGAAGGCTGCTAGCTCTGATGATAGTGCTATGATCTCCATTTCTAACGGCCTATTGTGTTTAAATTTCTTGCGTTGTCATTCAAAAAAACGGTTTTGAAAGGCAGAAATGTTAGAGAAATAAGTAGATCGTTTTGTTGAATTAACAAATATAAATGAAATGGGGATTATACAAACCAAAGCATCTGCCGCCTCAGATTTTACGCCGAGGTAGCGAAGCATTGCCCACATTACGTAGAACTCGTATTCATTGTTTCCCGCCGGCTGATCTAGGGTCTCTAATTGCATTGGTGCAACCTGGAATGGGACCTTCGTCCCATCAATCATTCTTGCATAGACACTATGTCATATTATAAAGTGTAAAAAAGGGGCAACATTAGAATATGCTATGTGGGATTCGAAAATAATATGTTATTAGTTCGCTTACGCATTAAGCACTTTGACTAGGGGATCGAGCAAAGAAAGTGGCTTTTTCTTCAGAGTCCCACACCTTGATACGATTTCTTTTAATATCGACAACAATGAAAACGAAATGGTTGCTGTAATCACAAAACCCTAGTTAACGAATAATCGTAACTACAAAAAAACAAGCATAAAAATAAGAGCAGAGAACACATACTCGCAGTTGTAGGCTAAAAGTATTTCAGTTTTATTACTCATCTTGAAATTTTTTAAAATGGCAGTCAGTGTCTCCGTCAGATCTTCCACTTTATTTCCATGCATGCCTCTGTATGTTCTCCAGTTGACTAGCTCGGGGTCTAGGAAAGACATATGAGCGTACTTTGTTTCGAAGCAATGTTTTGCTACACATCTGCATAATTCATGGGGAATGTGCAGTCGTTAAATATTTGTGTATCGAGAGAGTAGTTAATTATAATATCGTACAAGTAGGGTACTTACATAGTCCACAACGTTAACATTTATGTATCGAGATCGCGTCTCTGGAATAGCTGAAACAAGTGATCCCAACCGACAAAGTGCTTCTCTTCATTAGGATAATGGAAAACATGCAGCGAACGGATAATATATTCGAAACCCGCCTGCCCCGCCTCAATGCTTAGGCCATGTAACAATCATGCAAGTCACGCATATATGTTGTCAAATTTTTATACTCCTCCTCGTCCACCAAGAAATTGCCTCTTTGAAACTGCATTACCGGTCTTGCCATCTCATATGCTAGTGAATCATAATAGATGTTCGTAGCATCATCACTGCTTAATCCGAGGTTGTCTTCGACAATCTTGTTTATCTTCCTTTGATATTCATGGTGTATTTCTTCGACTCTTAATTGATTGTGCTTACTCTCTGTTTGCCTATTGAATTCGGACTGCACCCTCCACTTAGGCAATGAGGCAAATAGATTCCAGAATCTAACTTTGTCTTCCTTGGAGGCTACTTCTGACTTTCGTTGGTTCATCAAGTTTGTAACGCTGCCACTCATCGTCCTTTTTTGTCCAATTTGGGAGCATTAGCGACCGAATCCGAGGACCTTTTTTGTGATTGCGAGGATGCCTTAGATCTTGTTTTGGGCTGTTGTGGAGAAGGAGGACGAGAATTATGTTTTCTCAAGGGTGATGAAGAGGGAGGAGGAGGAGGGGGAGTCTTCTCTTTTCTTAGGGCTGATGAAGATGGAGGATGAGGAGGAAGAGAAGAGAAGGAGACTTCTATCTTCTCGGGGGTGATGGCAAGGAACCAGGGAAGGTAGTGTGATCTCCTCTGTTGGGAGATGGTGAGTGATCATCTCTGGGCGGCGAAGAATCACCATGGTCCTCATCATCATCCGAAGACAACTGGTGATCAAGCTTAATGAAGCGCTTACACCAGGCCACATGAGTGCCCTTGTTCAGAACAAGGCATTGCCTGTCTCCCTATACGGGGTAATCAATGTGCATCTTGTTATACTTCTTATCAAGTATAGTATCAATGCTGATGTGGGCATACCCCATTGGAATTTGGCGGTGATTAATGGTCCCATCTCCCGTAGGCCAGGCCTGGCCGACTGCCACCTTGTTAGTTGTCCATTGCTGATGGATGAACAGCCTGACATTGACGGGTTTGGTGATGTTGTCCACCGGATGAGGCGCATTCGCCTCTTCATCATTGAGCGGGGTCGATCCACAGCTGCTGTGACCCCTGAACTATGGGTTAAAGCTAGTCAGAAGATGTTCTTGTGGTACTACTTCTGATCTCATGGACGCCATAAGTACATTGACTTTTTCTTGAACCCTCTCATCATTCCGTTTTTCGAATTTGTCTTCCATCTCTTTCAGAACCCTCATATAATCTGGCTCTTGTGCCGCTCTACCCCACGAGTGGCTCCGATAAATGGAAGATTCTTCCTCGAATGTTATTTTCCAAGGAACAAGACCGGCTCTTGTAGTGCGCCCAGGGTGCTCCTTATTTCTAAGTGCTTGGGTGAGCATGTCATTCTGCCTATTAGTATTGCATGTCCCTTTCCTCACCTCATCATTTACCTCAGAGATCCTCTGGACTAGGCTGCTCATGGCTAGATTTGTGGAGCCAAAGCTCCCGTCCGGGCCATGGTGTACCCCCCTCGCCATACAGAAATATATCAATCTGGGCTCCCAATTGGTAGTCTCAGGCCCAATGCTAAGGCGTTCCACCTCCTCAAGTTCCCTTTCAAATGCATCCATCTTACTAGAGTAGCCACAAGAGCCGAGTTTATGAGGATTCATTGCTTTAAGCAAGTTATCCTTATTCTTCCTGCCCAGTTCCTAGTACTCCTTGGATTGCCTGTATTGCTTGAATTCCTGCCAGAAGTCCTTCTGCTTGGTGTACTCTCCACCATCCTAATTTGGCTCTTTATCCTCAAGGATAAATTTCCTGTACAATGTCCCCTTGAAAGTCTTGAAGCATGCCCCTATGATTTCTTTTGCTTTTTTCTTGACTTGCTCCTTGTCTTAGTCCTGTGGGAAAGTGAAATACTG